TCGCCGGCGCCCGGGATCTAACCCGGGACCACAGGATCACAAGTCCAGTGTGCTGTCCGCTTGGCCGACCGGCTCCCTAACAATAGACTATATAATATTTAAACCCCCCCAGCTTGTGTAGGAAATGATTTGTGGGAATTTAATATCATACAGTCCGCTATTGAATTAAATAAATTAATATATAAATTAAATATAAATTATAAACTAGAACTCATTAAATAAAATAATAATTGTATTAAAATAAATCAATAAATCCCACGAGTCAGTTTTCCCCAACAAATTCATCCACCAGCTAGACTGACAAGGTAAGGAAACCAAAAAGACAAATCAAGGCACTAGAGAAAGAATGAGTCAGGGAAAATAATTCCCTTACTCATTCTTCTCTAGTGCCTTGATTTGTCCTTTCGGTTTCCTTACCTTGTCAGTCAAGCTGTCATTTTCCCTATCCTGCAGCAAAATACTGTCAAATAAAATATTAACCTAACTCTTGAGACCTATGTTTTCTTGCTCTAAATTTTAAAATCTTCCATCATAAACCTATCCCAAGTTCTCAATCATCACTAATTCTCTAGAAAACTACCTACCTGTATTGCTTAGTAAACCCTATGAAATTACTGTCCCTTGCTGTCTCCACTGATGATCTTGTCCCATCTGCCATCTTTATTTTACCTGAATTTATCTGAGGGCCACTAACACTCTAGTGAGCTTGACGAGGACAGGAAGATGGCGGCTTGTGAAAGGTCCCCCTATTTCTCCTGATGATTTTTTTTTTAGTTAGATTTTAAAATTCAACAGTTTTAGCATTTACAGTATATCATTGGTGGGTAGGCAGTTTCATGGGTTTAACCCTGTGGGTGAAAATACCTTTTGTTATCAGACCTACATTGTGGCTTGTTGAGCTTGAAACCATTGCTCCTTGTTTGTGTTACAACTAAACTCGTGAAACAATTTTTGGATCAACATCCTTCAAATTGTTCAGTATTTTAAACATTTTGATGAGATCCACCTCGGTACTCATACTCAATTTCTCAGAAAAATTTGATTTGGAACTCGTTATTTGCCTCGGTGTTTGGAATTCGTTTATACACATCCAGGTCCACCAAGCATGTGGCATCACGGTGAGGCACGCCTCAGTTAACCAGGTGTCCTGCCGAGGTGACGACCGTGCTTGAATTCTTTGTGAAGAATTTCATTGTTTTTCTACTTTTTTGTTTTCTGAACAGTAGAGTTCTTATTATATATCACACCATAGGTCCCAGGATGGTGAGGGGACTGGATGGATGGATGGTGGGGGAACTGGATGGATGGATGGATGGTGGGGGAACTGGATGGATGGATGGATGGATGGATGGATGGATGGATGGATGGATGGGGAAACTGGATGGATGGATGGTGGGGAAACTGGATGGATGGATGGTGGGGGAACTGGATGGATGGATGGTGGGGAACTGGATGGATGGATGGTGGGATTAACCTCCAACCCCCACACCATACCCTCTCCACTACCCCCATACCGCCACTGTACCCTCCCGCTACCTTCATCCCCCACACCGCAGCTTCATCCCCTCATCCCTCCAGTTTGGGACCAAAGAGCCAAAGCTCAACCCCCACAAGCACAAATAGGTGAGTACACTGCACCCTCCCCACTACCTTCATCCCCCACCCCCAATGTACCCTCCCAGCCACATCTGGACGATATTAATACGGTAGACTTCCCTTGCTATCAGGAGGCAGACTGCCTGACATTAAACACTTGTTATTTACCGGCTGTAAATGCCTGATGGACTGTAAATGGCTGAATGACTGTAAATGCCTGACTGGTTGCTGCCACAACTGTGAATGCCTTTGGTTATGACTGCCTGTGAATGCTTGCCTGAATGTAACGAGTTGTGTCTGGAAATGCCTAATTGGTTGCTACCACAACTGTGAATGCTTGACTGCCTGTGACTGGTCTTGACTGTGAATGCTTGACTGACATGTTGTGACTAAGTGACTGGTTCTGACTGCCTGCAACATAACAGAGGCAGTGAAATATTTGAAAGGAAAATCTGGAACCAGTGATGCAGATATGAGAGCGTTTAAAGGGAGCAGGGAATGGTCTCGCCCTCCCTCCTCCCTCCCTCCTCACCGTCTCCCATATGCCAACAAGAGTCCTCAATAAAAGGTTAATTGCAGTTAAATGTTCGCTTATTTTATTTATGACTTATACCTGACTGTTTTGTGTATGAAAAATATTAGTAGTATTCTGTATAAAATGTATTTTTAGGTTAATATTTTTGGGGGTGGGGGTGGGGGGGGGGGGGGTGGAACGGATTAATTCAGTTTACATTATGGGAAAATTTGTTTCGGTTTTCGTAATTTTCAGTTTTTGTAACATCTCTGGGAACGGATTAACTACAAAAACTGAGGTACCACTATATGTCCTTCTGCAGATGAGGTCTCCATGCTTGGAGTTCCATTACCCCAGCTGTCAGGCGGGAGTTGCCACAAAGATATTATTACCTAATTATTTCAATGTCTCTGATTGATTTTTTCTTTATTTTTTTTTGCTGTAATATTATTCAATAGTGTGTAGTGTGATATATTTATAATAAAATGTGTGAATCATCGCTGTACTCAAAATTATGGTGTGCATATTATTGATTCAATTATTATGTTCATAAAACAATAAACAAATACTTTGTCGGTTATTACACTATATACACAGGTTATAAATAAGTATCTAAGTTATATTTAAGTTATGTATAAGTATATAAGTATAAGTAGAAAGCAAAGGTGAGAACTGTATTGATATAGTACATGCTCTCATAAAAGACGAATTGCATTATAATCTCAATAAAACAGACATAATTGCTGCCTACAGAGTAGGCAAACCAGAGAAAGGAAGACTCAAACTCAAAAGACATAGGGTCCCATCATAAAGACAAACTTTGGGTCTTGCAGAAGGTACTAGAAAAGAACCTCCATACCACCGCAGAGAAGATCCGAGAGGAAGGGAACTCCCCGGAAGGCCATCCCTGATGGGTCTAGCGGCATGCAGAAACGAACCCTGGGGGAAGCTGCACTCAAATCAAACTCATACAAGGAGGGGGGAATACGAAAACTCCTCCTGAAGGAAAAGGCCCCTGCTAGACGGAATAAAGACCCAGCTGGGGTCCAAGGAACCTAAGGCCCCATATCTGACTCCAACAAATACTGGAAACCAAACTCGAAGGCTCTGAGGCAGAGCCAGCATCCACGCCTACCACCTGGGGTAGAAAAGCGGAGTCCAAGGGTGAGACCTCAGAAAAAGGAGTTGGCTGGAAGAACAACCTTGATACCTTGGTGGAACCAGCAGGCTCAACTGCCTCCACAGCTGAAGTGGAAAGAGCATCCAATGGAGATGGCCATGCCACATCCCAAACTAAACCCTGCCCCTATACAGAAAGCCTCGGACATTTCAGAGCTGGAAGGAAGGAGGTGCGAACGGAGAGAAGGTGTCGACAGAACCAAGGTGTTCACCAACACCTTCAATTCTGGGTTCCTAAGCGCAAGGCAGGCCAGCTCTAGGGCATATAAACAGGCACATGAACTAAACTGCTGCAGCCAGGAAAAAAGAACCTATAAGGCAGAAGCTGCCTGTTATGCTTGAACTTCATCTGGAGGGTCCGAGAAAAAAGTCACACGAGGAGATAAACCTCACAGGACTCTTTCTTGCATTTGGAAGTTTGAAAATATAGTGTTAAAATTTGTGTTTCATAATCTTTATGATGTTGCTCTAATTGTTTGATATTGATGAGTGTCCAAGTTGTAGGTGTCTTCAACCCAGCAGGCAGCATGGCAGAAACAGAAAGAATCATCGTCGATTTATAGCATGGATGACAAACAGCCCTCAAACTTGCACAAAGTGAGAACAGGCTCAGAATGAATATCCGTAAGCCCCAGGAAACACTGTACCCCAGGAAATTATCAGGGCCTAAAGGGTAAACCAAGCAGGACACTTAGGCACTGGGGATGCTACTCCAGACCTAAATGTAAACAGATGCAGCCTGAGCTACACAGCTGTGAAGGTCGACCTTGGTGTGCTGTAGTACAACAGTGTAAACCATCTGTACACACTCTATCCAGTCAACGCTCGCTCCTGACCCAGGACGTAGACAGAGGGGGCAGCAAGACCCTCGACTTGCCAAAGTGAGGAGGGCCTCCAAAACAGAACGGGCCTCTAATATAGCGACCTTCTGAACACACCAGGGAAGAGACCTCTATCAGTGCAGGGCAGCACAAGGAAGATAACCCTGAGCACATGCAGCTCCAAGTGCACTAAAAGCCAGGTCCATGCAACACCAAAACAATACACAACAAAAGGCCACATAGGATAAAGTTAAAAAAGGCCAGCACTTAGCTGAAAAGCACTGGAGGGCCCACCATAGCTTGCTGACGACCCAAGAGCCCTACAGCAGATATTGTTTCCAGTCTGCATCAGTGACAGAACTGATGGCATTAGCTAGTGGAAAGTGAGAGCCCTGGCCCCCTGCCCTCCCCCATCCCCCAATAAGTGGGAGAGGTGGGGCAAATGAGTGCATGCTTGTTTCTAGAGATTCAATATTTTTTTTACATTGTTGGAAGAGTTCATTTAGCAGTGTTGAGGCTTCAGTCTCTTTGAACCTAGCAGTAATCTGTATTGGTTTGTTGACTCTTCTAGATACTTTCCTAGTGCAGTGGCAGTGTATCGATTGCTTCCTGTGCCTCTGTGAGGGGGGAGGCCAGGTTTTAGCCCTAATCCCCGGCAGGCTAATCAGAATTCTACAACTGATGCGATCTAGTAGTTGGGAGCCATCTCAGCTAGATAGCTTCAAGGAGCCATGAGGAGCTCCCCACCAAGAAAGAACTTAAATTTTCAGAATGAAACCCAATTTTTCAGACACAACAGGTTTCTATCAGTCAGCCCAGTTCATTGTGTCTGGAATATCATTTGATAATTGTTAATATAAACTTAATGAGGGAATGAAACAATTACAAAGTGAATTAATGCACATTTATTTGTTGCTTTAATGCAATGTACAGTTTGTAAGCCATAAAGAGGACTGGTAACATCAATTTCATTTGAGTAATTCATTACCAATTTCATTACCAATTCATTACCTAGCTATTGTGCTCGATGCATTTACATCTCCCAATATTCCAGTACTGTCATACATGCTTTTGAGTCTGTGAATGGTGGTTGCTTCCACTACATTTGGCTCAAGTTTATTCCATTTGTTATCTACTCTTGTTCTCACTGCATATATATGTACTTCCTTCCATTCCTCTGGCTCAGCTGTTTCCAATGTCCTCCTGTCCAACCTTGTTCATTTGTCCCCTATCTGGTACAGTGTCTTTATTTACTTTATGGCAGTTTTAAGATGGGTGCGTATCTAGATACTGTGGTGATGTTCATGGGGGGGAGGGGGGTTAGGGTTGAAGGTGTATATAATGATTCCTATTGTCAGAAACAGAAAGCCTCTCTTATTAGTGTAGCAAAGTCCCCCGTAGGTCCAACTACTGACCTTTTCCCCGCAACAGTTGCCAGACTCCTAGGTACTTACAGTACTTATTGCTAGGAGAATAGGGGCATTAGGTGAGTGTATTTGTGGATGTTATGGGTGGATATATGGATGTTGTGGATGGGTGTGTCTGGATGCTGTTGGAGGATGTGGTTGTTGTGGGTGGGTAGATGTAGTGGGTGGGAGTGTGGGCATATTATCGAATCATTGTACATTCGTTTAAAAATATACAAAGAAGAATGACAGTAAATTCCAGCCACTAAGAAACTCCTTAATCTAAAGGGACTAATACATTAGCAATTTAAATACTATACTATACCTTGGAAAGTATCAAGAGGAGACAAATGATGTATATCAATTGGTGAAATGGGATTAAACAAGGGTTCAAAAAATTCAACCAAAATTAGAATGCAAAACAATATAATAAATTTGAACGAGTTTATATTTAGAAATTAAATAGGAAGAAATTGGCAAGGAAAGAGGGTTGCTGATTTGTGGAACAAGTTACCAAGTACTGTAACAATACACTGTAGAAGAAAATTACCTATGTGCTCAATTCCCTATAAGTGACTGATTCTTATGGGATTTCAAATTGTACAATTGTGACTTCGGCTGGCTTTGTAATAGAAACGCGTTAGAATAAATATTACATATATTTTTCCATGATTCTGAGCATGTTTCTTACAAAATCAATGTGATATTTTTGTAACTTAAGGGGGGGGGGTATATTTGATATACAATTTGTTATTTGTTTTCAAAGATGTACAGTCCTTAACCCTCAATGTGCAACCTTACTGAGAACAAAAAACTAAAATAAAAAATCTTGTTTTTATTAACAAATAAAAATCTGTAGCTATTCACAACTATGTTTGAGGAAAACAAAAATCACACATCTACTCTTATTTTGGTTTAGGCCACGGTCAACATTCAGTATCAGACTGCGATGATAGTTAAAACAAAACAAAAATACATAATTTTTAATTTTTCGTATGAAATATAGTCAAAAGTAAAGAATCTCTATGTGAAAATAAAGCAAATACCAAAATAACAACATACAGTGGAGATCTGTATCTTCACTGTATGTTTTATAACATACTTCATAATATATGTTTTTTATGTTAACCTAGGGAAGATCCAAGATCATATGATAATGGCTACAGCTGAAGGATGCCTACCCCCAAATTTTTTTCTGGTCTCCCACGACTGCTGAAAGACACCACTAAACTATTGGAAGCATTTGGGCATCAACACTGACACAGGTATAAATCATAAATCGTCATTTAAATCAACACAAAATGACGACTGCACTTTAATTGTTAATTCAGTCATATCAGTCAGTTATATATTGGGGCAAAAAGTGCCCCAAAGAAAAATTATATTTTAGACCCAAAGAGCCATATTGTAACAATATGAAAAATACTCAATATCCTATATGCTGGACAATGTCAATATTAACAAATCTCTCTTAAAATGAAGCCATCGGATTGTACCTGGATGAGGTTCTGGGAGTTCTTCTACTTCCCAAGCCCGGCCCGGGGCCAGACTTGAACCTTTCTGAAATGTGTGCCTCTGTCTCCCGTACTCCTACTTTACATTCACTAATCCCACTCTTTGTTTTATAGGTAATCTATTCCTGTAATTACTGTCCAGATCTAGTGCACATATCTTCCAGAAATCTTACACGAACATAGCAGCCAGTAGTTATCTACGTGGCTTCTAGTGCCTAAGACATCCCTCTCCATAAATTCATAGCATATTTGCTATGTAAATTTCATGATTGATTTAGGTGCCACATCAATAATACACCTTCCATTTGCTTATAATGAGAGAAGAAACATGAACCAAAAAAAGACATAAAAGGAGAGGAAACAAAAATCAGTAGACAAAGCAGAAAAACAACACTAAGAAAATGTATCTTAATTTTGATGATTTACTAATAATGTTCAATGTTTTCTACTCTTGCTTCATACATTAAACAACTGCACAGAAAATTACTTGAGAATGTTTGAAATAATCATTACAAGAAAAAATGTTTCACTTAGGAAAACAGATCTTGTCAACACTGATACACGCACGTGTTCCGATGGTTCAGTGGCTTGCCAACACAGGTGTGATGAGCTACCAAGGCCAATGCGTACAACGAAGATTCGGTTAGAACATTTTTTTGTACACACATGTGGTACTGTATACAGTTAACTGAAAACAGAATATTGCATCCTTCATGGCTTCAATAAGTTTATTTGACATACCTCACAAATCTCAGTTGATTGTATGCAAATCAGACCCAGGGGCCAGCATTCATCAAGCATTTACAAGTCCTAAATACAGTATCTTTCTTCAATCATGACAGATAAGTTTGTATTTTAATAAACAAATTACAAGCTTCCAAACTTTACAGCTCAAGATTATTGTTCTAAACAACCTTGTAGAATTTCAGAGCACAAACTGTTTCATAATTGCAAACACAGCCACCATGATTGACGAGATATACTGTATTGATGTCGCAAGTGAACACTTAAGTGCTTGGTAAATCCTGGTCCTGCTCTTAAAGCCAGATCAATACTAACCTACTCATGGAAAGGTAAAAAAATTTACAATATTTCAATCCATCCTAGATCATTATCAAGTCAACCTGGTAGTGTCCAAGGGTGGACTGAGACATACCATAATCAGAAATGTTGATTACTTTTCCCAGTTGATGCCACCATTAATCACTGGCCAGAGGGACTCCAAATCTAAAAGGTAATTAACCCTTGCAAGGCTCTAATCACCATCTGCAATTACCTTGTGTGCTCAAATTGCCATTAGTGATTAATCCTTTAAGGTCCCGGTAGTAGAGTCGGGGTTGTTCTCGACGCACAATCGAGAATTCCAGGTTCAAATCCTGGGTGGGACAGAAATGGTTGGGCAGCTTTCCTTTCACCTAGCAGTATGTACTCAGGAGTTAGTCAGCTTGTTGTGGGCTTGAATGCTGGGCGGGGTCAGAAATTCGACCTTGGGAAGGGAACCTCGATATAAGCCTAACATGTATGAATACACTCTGGTTTCCTGTCCCCTGACACAATGAATAATTATATTATTATTATTGGTTTTCCATACTTTTTAATGCATACCTAGATGTTGGATTCAAATAGTTTAGCAGTTTATAAGTTAATGCCTTCAACTAAACATAAGACAAGATAGAATCTAAAGTCAACAGCAAATTAGAATACAGTATACAAGTTTGAGGTATAAAATACCAGTGGGAATATTCCAGAAAGAGAAGAAATACAAAAGTTCCATTTTAGCTGAACAATAGCATAATTAACTGCACATTCTCACTTATATATGACCAGAGTTTGTAATAAATACTGCAGTAACAAGTGCCTTACTGCTTATAGAAAACATAGTGGCAATAAAATGAGATCTAATGCACATCCTTGGACTCCCTCATCATATGCACTACCAACTGGACCATGATGTTAGTAGTGCAGTAGTGACTGCAGAGTTCAGGGATGAGAGTTGGATTCCATCGTATCCATATTTTCTCATACATGCATAAAAAATGTTGTGATTTTATTGTGACGTGACCTAACCTATAATGAACATACACTCTCAATACTCAAGGTTAAAATTACATAATTATGTTTGTACCTTGGGACAATTTTAAGAATATGTTACTAAATAAGAAAATGCCAAATATGTTATATGTTTGCCAATTTTTTCTTTTTCTTTTGCAACATACAACTTAAGAAGAGGCACACAACTAAAAATGGTGCAAGGCCCATTTTTTGTCTTATCTGGCAGCTATCACTACATTGCAATAAAATATTCATATTTATCCTATTTTAATTAGTGTTTGAATTTAATGAGCAAGAGTTTTGATACTCAACTCTGGGTAGTATCAGCCAAAGCCTTCAAACTAAATGGAGAAAGACCACTGAGTTGAAAAGCTTGTTTTATATTATCGGACACCATCGCCTTTCTTTGAACTCTACTCAAAACCACAAAAAAACCCGAACAAGTTAAGACTTGGCTGTTAGTTTCAGATTTCCATTTCTGCACTTCCTCAGCCCAAGAAAGCGTCAAGGGATCACACACGGCCATTACAACTGGTTCCAATTTCAACAGAACGGTGTATGGATGAAGTGAATGCACAAAAACCTTTTTCTCCTTAAACAACTCGCACACTTCTGGTGTTACCATGGAAGTATAGCGCCCATGCAGGAATAATATAACAGGAGTCTTGATGCCTTCCTTATGGAGCCATGGTATGAACACAGTCTTCAGATGGTCTAGAAAATTCTCTGCCTGCAATGCACCAGAAGGAGAACTGCTAACATGCCATTCTAGTGTGGCTGACTCTGGTACATGGCTAGGGATGATTAAATCAGGACAAATGACTGTTGCGGGTGAAACTTTACCGGCTGCACTGATGGTTTCTATGACTGAAATAAACTGGGAGCGCTCGCTTGGTGTTCTATCATTTTTGCTACGTGGCTCAAATACAGTCCCATCTTTGGCATTCATTGGAAACACAAGGGAGCCGGTGGAAAATATCCTGGTAGCATCATTTAATATATCTTGAAAACTAAGCTTGGCTAAAAAATTTTCCAAATCTGAGTACCAAAATTCTACAGCATTAAAGGTAGCAAAACTCTTGAAAATTTGATTTTCCTTATGAACTATAGATGTGATGTTTGGATTATTTTTTAAAAATCTGTAGTACCAAAATGAATTGGGAAGATTATTTTTAAAAGGAGTTTTCCTTTGTTTTTCAACAAATATCTTTTGAACAGTGTTCAATATATCACTTTTTACATGGGCAAAGCCTAAATCGGTGGATATTTTCAACCAGTCTATCAAAAAATCTACTTCTCTTGTAGTAAGAAACAAATCTCTATTTAGTTTATCACGAGTGGGCCTGCCGGCAGGAGCAACTTGCCTCCACCACCTGTGGAGCCCCTCCACCCGTGTTTCCTTCTTCAGTAGTTCCTCTTGCTCCTCTTGCTCGATCTGATGAAGGAACACAATATTAATCATCCTCAAACCATTTTACAACCTGGTATTATACTGGTTCAATGGATTTGATTAATCATTTGGTTTATTGACAAATTTGGTAGAAATTCGACGTCCAAATAAGAGTTTAATCATTCAAGTTTAGGCAAAATAAATGGCGACAGTTTTCTTAGGAAGCGAAACGCTTAATGTACAGTGTCATCTCTCTTAATATTATTTCATGCATTACACTGCTTGAGCTTCCCTTGTATGATTTTACCTTTATCTATCATGCCTCTTCTTCTACATTTACTAATCTCTCATTAACACTTTTGCTGCCTAATGCCGCATATTTCATCACTGAACCAAAATATGGAGTATGGGTGATAATGCAAACGGCATCATTAATTTAAAAAAAATGTAGAAATTCCATTTATTGTCTGAATTCTATGGGACTTATTTTAAAATGAGCTCCAACTTCTGCCCATTCTCTGTATCCCCACATGGCATCCTGACCCTGCCGTGTGGGTACCCACCCACGATGGAGGCTCACTGTTCTCATGGCCTCGCTCAAGACAGCTGCGACCTTCCATCGAGTCTAAACGTTTCCCCATTACGGTTATTTTCTCTCAGGTATTTGTTGTTACTGGCCTTATAAACACTGCAAATTGACTTCCAGATGGATACTGATAAAAAACAGAGCCAATCCATGATAAAAGCATTGAAAGAAACACGTATGAGGGAAAAGACATTGAGGTTTCGTCAAAAGTATAGAGAAGCGAGACATATGTTCTTATATGCAAATATCCTTTTGCAGCATTCAATTGCAAACAATTTGATACCAATTTGAACGACGTAGCACGGAAATTGAGGTTAGAAAGCTGAAATGAGTATAAATATTTTTGTGTGGTGAGCTCTCGGGCAATGCTCGGGCTATCTTGCAGTGGGCGGCGGGTCTAAAGTAGGTTGGGGGAACTTATATGTTCTTATATGCAGATATCCCTTTACAGTATTTTATTGCAAACAATTTGATACCATATTGAATGATGTACCACAAAAATTTGAGGCTACAAAGCTAAAAAAACTATAAACAGTTTTGTGTGGTGGTGAGCTCTTGGCGTACCTTGTGGTGCGCGGCGAGTCTAAAGTATTGTATAGGAAAGTGAGACTTATATGTCCTTACATGCACATAGTCCTTTAGAGCATTATATTGTGAACAATTTGATACCTAATTGAACGACATAGTATGAAAATTGAGGTTAGAAAGCTAAAAAGAATACAAACGCTTGTGGGTGGTGGTGAGTTCACGTGCACTACTCAGCTGATCTTGAGGTGCCCCGCCAGGACAGCAAAAGTGTTAATCTATTTTTTAAACCAATCTATTATATATATTTATCCTTTTGTAACTAATTTATAGACACTCACTAATCCGGAATCCGACCATCTGGAAAATGCCCTAATCCGGCCAGATAAAGTTATCTCACCATCCGGCAAAAATGTCCACGGGAGCCGGACCAGTGAGAGTTTGGCTGAATAAAAAAATCTGAGCCGGTTAACTTGCTGCCGATGTTACACTATCCAGACAGTCAGCTGGACAAGCAGTGATATGTCCGGATCAGAAAGCCAGGCGGCAGGCTGTACCGTATTAATCCCATATGGCTGTGGCTCTAGGCGCATGGTGTAGGAGGGGGTGGGGTGGGTGGGTGATGTCGGGAGAGAGGGGGAGCGTTGGGAGGGACTGCCTGGGGGATAGCCTGGGGGATAAGAGGGATGTGGAGGGGCCTATACACTACAGTACAGGAATTACCATTAATTTTAGAACAATTCATCATAGTCAAAAACATAAGAAATAATTATGTGACAACAAATGTACAAGTTTCCTAAAAACAATTTGCCCATGCTGAAGTTTGCTTAAAAAATATTGAGAGTTTTTTCCGCCTGGCGGCCTACGTAACGTGCCTGCCTGCCTGCCCCCAAGTGGACTCGTCTAGGCCTGGTCAAGCCAAACAGCCCATGTGCTCCCATCCCTTGCGTTATACCAGTGCTACGCCATTAGTAAAATATTTTTTTAATTAACTTTTTTGTTTTCATAGTAACTTTGAACAATTTTGGCCAAGACTATGCCTGGTAGCAGCATCAATCGTTCTGGAGGTGTTAAGAGGAAGAAGGTTACCTTAATAATTAAAGAAAAATTATGTGTTATACAACTTTGTGAAAGTGGCCGGTCAACTTCAAGTGTTGCCAAGGACTTTAATATAGGCACTAGTACTGTTTCTGACATAGGGAAACAAAAAGAGCAATACCTGAAATACAGTTCAACCAGTGAGAGTGAAGGTGCAAGCACTAGCAGAGGGTGTAGTAGTAGAAGAACTTTGAAAACTTCAAAGCATGTAGTTGGATGAGGCTGTGTACAAGTGAATTGCTCAGCACCACACAGCTGGCGTGACAATTCGCAGCCCAGAAATACAAAATGCTGCAAGAAGGTTTGCAGAAAGCATTGGAATAATGGATTTCCAGGCTAGTGAAGGGTGGGTTGCAAGGTTCAAAGGGAGGCACAATATTGTGAAGAGGATAATTGTCAGTGAAAAATTGAGTGCAGATACAAGCAGTGTAGAACCATTTAAACATAAATTAAGAACATACATTGTCAAATAATTTATATTCTTATCAAATTTATAATGCTGATGAAACTGGGCTGTATTGGAGGAGTTTCCCAGAAAAAACTCTAGCTATGAGGAGTGAGGGTTGTGTGCCAGGCCGTAAGGTTAACAAGGACAGTCTGTTGGCCATGATGTTTGCGAATGCCAACGGCACAGACAGAATCACGTGTGCAATTGTTGGTAAATCAAAGAAACCAAGAGCCTTGCAACATTGCTTGGACAGACTGCCTGTGAACTATTATAACTCAAAGAATGCATGGTTTACACAGGAGTTTCATGATGTGTTCTGCAGGGAAGTTCGTGACTATCAAGTTAAAAAACTCAAAGTAAGGCCAAGCGAAGTTCGGACTTTGCTGTTGCTTGATAATGCGCCTGCCACCCCAGAATTGACACGTTAACCTCACATGATGGCAAGATAACGTGTATGGCACTTCCTCCTAATACAACCTCTCTCATTCAGCCTATGGATCAGGGAGTTATCTGTGCCATGAAGAGGGTGTACACCAAAAAGATGCTCAAAGAAGATTTGATTGTTTTTTCTCTTCCGGAAGATATGGAACTCGGTGTGGATAACAGGGCTAAAAGAACCCTTGAGAATTTGAAGAACTATACAATAAAGGAAGTCATCTATAACTGGGCCAAGGTGTGGAGTGAAGTAAAGGAATCGACTTTGAAGAATTCCTGGAAAAAACTCCTCGCGTCTACAGTCAGCAATGAGGAGGATGAAGAAATGAATTTTGAAGGATTTACACATGAAATCCATGGAAAGTTCAGAAATGCTGGCAAAAACTTAGAAAGACAGGATGTGGTTGATTAGCTTGAGAGAGATGCTAATGACCCAGGATATGGTGTGGTGAGTGAAGACGAGATTCTCCAGTCTATTACTGGTGAGGTCGACGAAGAGGAGGAAGAGGAGGATGAAGAAGGTAGTGAACAACCAATATCACAGACAACAAAACACAGTTTACTCATGTCTTCTGTTGACCTGTTAATTAATTTTTCATCCAATTGTGCTCATCCAGAAGTTGGAAACATGTATCAGTACCTGAGGCGAACCAAAGCGCTGATCATACAACTGGCCAGTGAACACAGAAGGCAAGCTAAACTTAATTCTTATATGGAAAGAAAAGCAAGCAAAGCGCCTTCAACCAGTGAGGCATCACAGACAAGCCAAGCGCCTTCAACCAGTGAGGCATCACAGGCAAGCCAAGCACCTTCAACCAGTGAGGCATCACAGGCAAGCCAAGCACCTTCAACCAGTGAGGCATCACAGGCAAGCCAAGCACCTTCAACCAGTGAGGCATCACAGGCAAGCCAAGCACCTTCAACCAGAGAGGCTTCAACAGCTGGCAGTCAAAACTAACTTTGCTTAATGAACTGTACAGTATTATTAAGTGTTAATTTTAGTGTTGTGTTAGTGTAGATTACTTAAATTGTTAAGAATTCTTATCTTCAAGATGTGTGGCATCAATCAAGAAGACGAACAACAAGGTAAGTTGAGGTGTCTAGTTGAATATTTTATAATTATATGTGGCAAGGCAATTTAAATTATGTTGTTTGTAGTATAAAAATAGTTGGAAATGATCACTTTTGGACTCGGAGGCGAAAAAGCACGTTAATCCAGAAAACGTGATAATCTGGCTGGGGCATTTTGACATTTGTTCTGGTTTTCAAAACTCTTAATTTTTTTTTTTTTTTTTTTTTTTTTTATGAAAAAACATGGAGCAGCCTACCTAACCTAACCACCAAACGAACCTTTTGCTATAAGACAAATAAAAAATAAATACTGAACAAATTTGAAGAAAGAAAAATGTAATAAAGGTTTGTGCAGTGTATGTAAGGTAGGCTGCTCCATTATGTAAAACATCAAATATTATATTAATTTTTTCAGTGGTAGAACAGATTAATTTGATTACCATTAATGTCAATGGGGACATTCATTTTGAATGACGTCCATTTCACATGACGACGACGGCGCCGGAACAAATTAAATTCGTTATTCGAGGTACCACTGTATATTTGTAGCAACTGCTGCCCCCTACATGGCAGCTGAGGCAAGCACCTCTGAGGCAAGCACCGCTGAGGAAAGCACTGTTGAGCACCCATAAATGGCTAAACTTCCCTGCTCTATCATGGTAAGAGTAAGTCACATACAAGTTTTAGTTTTAGGTTTCCGTGATCAGGGAACACATTTTAATAATTAGAAAGAAAAAATGGGAGGGGGGAATAATTATTTTGACATGCACCACGGGGGTTGTCATATTAAACTAATGAGTAGTGCATTGGTTAATGTTTAATGCATATGCAAGAGACAGTCTGACCCAAGGTTATTACCTGCCAGAGGTCATGATTAATTCA